TATTCAAAACCAGAATGGAATACATGGAAGATTTCTAAGGGGAAGATAAGCTAAGGTAAATGTCAGCAAAATCTAAAATGGAAAAAAAAAACCTGAAACATAGAAACATGTAGATTGCATAAGTATTCCCATCCCTCCTCTCAATATTTGTCCATTTTTCTGGGAACATTTACTCAAGCTCTCTCAGGTTATTTGAGGATCACTGATGGACAGCACTTTTCAAATCTTTTTACTGATTTTTACTGATAGGACTTACACTGGTCCACTCATTGACATTCACTTTCTTATTGTTAGGCTACTTCTGTTTTAGTCTTGTGCTTTAGATCATTGCTCTGCAGAAAGATGAATTTTTGGCCCTGTTTTAAATGTGAAGCAGGTATTCCTCTAAGATTTGCCACTAACTTGGTTAATCTAATATATGTTCCCATCAGTCTTCACAAACTTCCTATTTCCTGCTAATAAGAAGCTGAACGATAACTCAAGGCTGTACTACCACGTTAGACAGTAGTGTTGATGCTGACTGTGTCACTGTGTGCACTATTTTGGGTTTGTGTCAGATGTAACACTTTGCATTAGAACAAAAAGTTTATCTTGTCTGACCACAAGACCCTTTGCCATGTTTATAGTATCACTTAACTGGTTCATGGTCACTTAAGTAGTTTGTTGCAAGCTACAGTACATTTGGGATTTCAGATTTCAGGTTTTCTACTTAGTCAACTTTGTAGAATGACTGGGACATTGCTGACCCAAGGACAACTTTCTCTTGTTTCAGCCACTTGACTCTGTAACTCTTTCAAAGTCAATGTTGACCTCACAGTTGCATTTCTAACCAGTTTCCTCAAAGTTCAGCTGCTTAGTTCAGAAGGACAGCCGGATCTAGACAGTACTGTATGTGGGTGTCTAATACTTCTTAATGATTGACATAACCATGCTCAAAGAGACATTACTAGGCTTTGAAATGTTTTTGTATGAGTCTTCTGATCGGTGCCTTTACACAACCTTATCTTTAAGTTGTTTTGAAATTGCCTTAGTCTTCATGGTTAAATACTGTATATGCTTGAAATGCACTACCTGACTGAAGGACCCTACAAAGTTGTATATACAGTACAGTACGTGTCTGTATTTTGAAATCCTGTGAACAATTATTATTACAAAAGCGGTTTCTCAGCTTAATTAGGTGGCATTTAAGTTGATTTTGTGCAATTAAATTAATTTTGTTTGCCACAGCAAAGGGTTTGAATAGCTATGCAATTGTGGTTGTGTATGCAGTATAACAAATATAATTTGCTACTTCACAGTTTGCAAGCTTTAACGCAACAAAATGTGAAAACAATGCAAGAATCGTAATACTTTTGCAAGGTGCCATATAATGCAATAACCAAATGAAAGAATTGTCACATTCAGAGTTATACTGTTGAATGCCAAAGATCATTCTGGCCTGAGGCAGTGTTTACAAAACATTTTCCAAAATCAGCATAACACTATTTTTATCTTGTTCAGGCTGACACTCCAGAGGCATCCCAAATTCTCATGTCAAGTACAAACTTTAGTACATCTACTGTAGCTCAGATTCCTCTTTTGCAAAGCTTTAATTCCAATATATACTGTACATAATAAAAGTTTAAAATGAGCAAAGGAATTTGATCAAGCAAATTGATCAAGGAATATCTATGTGTTATTTTTCATTAGTTCCCCAGTTTTCTTGATAAAAATTACCCTTAAGTGTTCTTAACAAACTATAACTTTCATAATTGTTTTAATAATTTGTATTACTGGAATCTCATTGCATCTTTGCACACACAGTCCAGACAGTAATTACACACAACAAAAGACTTCCATCAGACTAAGTCATGTACTGGCTCTGCTTTATATCCTACAGCACATGATGACTTCATTGTTTCCAGAAAAGGCTACGATTATACTCCACAGACGTGCATCTCAATTCCTGACAATGCAGAAACTAAGGGATTGAGACATGTTTCAGTGTGCTAGATTCAGTAAATGTATTTATTTTAGTTTGAATGTAACCCCATTATTTCACACTTTGGCAAGAAAAACACTTTACATCACAGAGAGAAACTAACATTTTAATCAGGTTCTTACCTGAAAATAAGGGTCACACTCTGCAAGCCACTCAGTCTCATCAATTAGATTTTCAAAATCCTGTCTTTCTTCCTCCTTCGGACATAAATATTAAAAACAGAAAAATAATCCTGTTAGACAAGGGAATAATGTAAACACACAAGGCTATTACTAAACAAATATCAGAAACAAATAGGGATATTTCTGTATCACTAATATTAGCATAACAAGCTATAACTGACTCAAGATATGAATGATTCAATAATTCGTCAGAAAAGTCTAACAAAAAATGAAAATGTATTGTTGAAGACAGAATTAAAACAATATTTTTTTTTCTAATAGCAGCAGAGTAGAAACTGCATAACAAAAATACTTTTTTTCTATGTAACTCTTTCATTTCGGATACATTCTACTTATACAGTAATTATATATAAAGTTTTCCTTTTATACCCCAATAAATTATAGTTATGTATAAAACAAAAGCTAAATGTCAGTCAGCAACACTGAACTATAGAACAAAGATCAAAATGAATAAGCAAAACAATGTCTGTATAAGACAGAGTACAATATCTGATAATGAGGTGAAGAACAATTCTGTGCAAGGTGACTGGAAACAAACAACCCAATACTATAAATTCTCAGAACTTCCTCTATTCACAAGATCTATGGGCTTGTCATAGAGAATGCTTCTAAAAATAAATACGTCATTCACTTTCTTCTTAGGATAACTGAAATAATGAAATAATATTTTTTACTGAAAGAATAACGGTTCTCTCAACATTCTGACTATCCACTTTTCTTAACCAAACACAACACTGTCGTATTGCATAAGAACCAGACGCAGTAAACATGCAGTCTTCTGCAGTGAAAAGTATTCCATACAGAGCTCAAGACTGCCCTCCTGTGATGAAAAACCCAGACAACCTAGACAGCTTTCATTTCTCCATTTACGATACCTAGCTTAAGAAAATAGATTGAATGCAATACTGAAATTGACTTCTTATATTTCCTGATGAGTGGCATACAAAACAAATTGCACGAATGATAATTTGAAGACTACAAAAAAACATCTTAATGAGACGTCTGGATTGTAAATATTTAATATTCCTCCTCCTAAGAGATGTTTCTTTCTAAATATTTAAATGAAATTGTTATTTTTTTAAATACTTACAGAATGATTCACTGATGAATGCAACATTCATCTGATTAAAAATAACAGAAACACTATGCAGGGGTTCCACAGAACCTGATCAGCAGTACTCATGATCAACCCACATGTTATTTTAAATAAACAGAACTATCATCAATCCTAACATGTGAAACCAGCCCTAGTGGTCCATCTAAATAATATTACAAAGAATCACCTCACAACACATGACCAGTGGAAAATGTTGCTTGCTAGGGTCAGCTTTATGAGTATTTTGCTTTCAACTGTAAAAAATGGGCATCTTAAAATAGAAAAAAAAGTTTGGCCCCATTTTCTATGCAATGACTGGAAAACATCACAAGGTGTCGGCCTAATTTCCTGTTCTGGCAGATCTGTGAGAAAAGAGCAGCACCAGAAAATGTGAAAATGTGAGATTAGCAGACTTGTTTTAACAGCTCTACGAACAGTATGCAATTGAGCCCGCCGCAGTTAATTGCAGTCCCCAAGAATGATTTATTGTGATATTCCTTTTGTCACAGCGCCACTATCTTTTGTTCAGAAACACACAAAGCCATTCTATGAGATCCCTGGCGCTCTGCCAATCTAGTCCTCTCTGTCGCATAATGAAGCGATTCAGAACAAACGCTGCAAAATGTTAATTAGATTAAATAATTCTTTTCATTATTAGAGGCAAACAATGTACTGGAAAAGAACAGATTCAGAGGTAGGGCTTGCTAAAAATATAGAAGCAAATGGCACCAGCCCGTTTTCCATTAACACAGTCTGCTTAGTCTGAAATGGCAGTGTTGCCATCCCGTGACAATTAGGAGACAGCACCCAGCAGAGGCAGGTAGTGCCCTGGAGTAATGCGCACTAGAGGAATTATTTCAGTCTCTTTAGAACCATGGAGGTTCACATTTGGTTGTTATTTTGAATGCTCAGTACTGTAATTGGAGATGCAATGTCGGTCATGCAAACAGGTGATTTGGAATACATGCACAAATACTGTACTACTAACACAAATATTCTTACTAAGATGTGCTAAGATGTACTAGAAGACTGTAACTGGAATACAATTTTGTGCAGTACAGTCAAGAAGAGCTTACTGGGTCTCATCTGCCAGAAACATTTCCTAAGAAAATGGAGCTGTGCTTAATATTATTAATCACCAGAGATCCTTGTATAACTGCAGCACAATACAGTGATAGACTGTTAATTCCCTTTTCTTGTCTCATTTCTTTTACATGCATAAACTAAATTTGTTGAGAAATGTGAAAATTTAGTGTTCTTGTAAAAACAATGGTAGTGAGTCAGAAAACAAGCTATTTGTAACACAACATTTTTCACGAATACTTTTTTTACACATAGACTCAGAAATACTGTATTTAGGTTTTTCTGCCTTGTATCAACACAATATATAAAATGTGCTAGGTACTGTATTTCATACATTAAACTAATGTAAATATCTCTGTTAATTCTTCTGATAATGAAGGATAATGTCACACACACACACGGCAATATCTGAGCTAATTACGGCATGTGTGCAAATGCTGTTTAATGCAGGAAAATAAAATTTCTTATTCAAATAAATACATTATTAAAAAATAATGTAAATAAATGCATTAGGATATTCAATGTACTTGAATATCTTGTGTTGTGTGCTTTTTTAATAAAATTAATTTTTGAGATATAGTCTACAATTTTAAATCTTCAAAGTGACAATCTAAATAAAATGTTTCAGGGTTTAATACTGAGACATCTTTGGTAAAGAACAGTGTAGAGTTGTTTTGTAGCTGGCGTAGATGCTTTCAAACCTTAAATAAAAGGAAACTGTCACAAAAGTTTAGATTTCTGGAACCCTTTGTGGTATATTAGGGACTGTAATGATATAAAATACATTTATGCTATTTTGTTTTGTCAATAGCATGTGCAGCGATAAAAAGAACAGCAGGTGATATACTCACGAACGCCTCTGTGCAGTAGAAATGAACATGAGAGAAATTATATGCTTTTCCCAACAGTCTCATTAAGCATCAAGCACAATTTGTTTAGTGCAACACTGAAAGCACTGATGGGATATATTTATGGCTGGTGAGCACTGGTTTGTATATACCCCAGAACAACCACTTAGCTCTACTGTTAAATTGCACATGTGCTGTGAACAAAATAGTCTGGATTGACAAGCCTATTTTTTAACTCATCTTTATGTCAAAAAGCTTTTGGAATCAATACAGAAAGTGCGCGGTGCACCCCTAGACTCAAGACTAGAGACTTGAGACTTCAAGACATCTGTAATCTGTACAAAGCAGTTTCACTGTAAGAGAAAGGACAGACAGATAGAGTAGAACCAGTGGCACTGTCAGTAGGCAGCCTATAAAACTGTCAGGGGATAGCAAAAAGGGAGGGGGTATCACCAGGGATACAACAAAAAACAAGTAAACAAAAGGTCAAAATAAGACTTGCGGGACACAAATATATGACAATTTTATTTATGAGTAATTATTTGACCAACTTGTGGGGCCCATTTAAAGAACTGATGATTTGACTTGCCAGTATAGCACAAATTATACTTTATAAGAAATGACGGCATTAACTTGTTACTAACTAACACTGCTCACCATGGTTAGTAACAGCATGTCTAAAAAAAAACTTTTTTTTAAAGTTCACACCTTAACCTTGTTGTCCAGTGCCTTGGAGAAAGGGATCTGTCTTCCTGTCCCAGCTGACTCTTTGTTCTCTTCTTCCTCAAAAAAGCCTTTCAGGCCAACAGGGTTGGTGGTCCTGTTTTGCGACATTTTCTCACTTACAATTCTTTTGCCCTGGTTTCAAACAAAGATTGAGCAACCAGGTTATGTGGTATATGTTAATCCTACAGTACTGTTTATGTTAAGGATAATAATAATTTAGGCTCAAGCCAATAAACATGGGGACAATGTTATGCTCACTAGGCCAAAAAGTGTTCAGAAGATCTGACTACTGTAATAGCTATCTTGAAAAAAATTGCTGTGAATGTTTTTTTACTCCTGATTCTTCTTGTATTTATTTTAATTAATGAAATGCAGAGACAAAATGTATTTAAAGTCCAGATGGCATAACGCCATTGACTGAGGGAGCATCAGCCAGAACATCACTGACAGAACCCCCCTCTCTTTACAAGGAATGAGCCAGGGAGCTGCTGCAGGGGTGAAGATGGGGTGGAGGAAGGGGATACTAGAAAGAAGTGCACACGGGATGCTCAGCAGATGATATACAGGTAGTTATGTGCAGGAAAGCAGAAGTGGGTGAGATTTGAATTTGCCCTCCTCTTGGCCTTCTGTTTAAAAAAACATCACTATTTAGATTAAGATCTTCCTTACAAAGGTAAGATCAAATTTAAATTAAGAAACAATTAGAATGCGTGAATGCAACAGACATAAGTCAAATATGCCAGAGATCATTGAGATCAAATGTTATGTCATCTGCTATGTAATTTGACATGTGAGGAAAACACACAAGTAAGCATTTCATTGTACTCAGGCATATTCAGTATGACAATAAACGTGAACTTGAAATGCAAGGAACTGGTTTCTTGATAAAATAATTTAAGAAATCTTTACATGCAGATTAAAACGTATTAGTAATGCCATTGTTTATGATTTTATTTTCCCTAACTGTCTGGCTTAGATCAAACCATGTAAACCTAGGATCAATCATCCCTTTAATACAGGGTTTTGCTAAGGAGTCCTGACATTTAAACCTCCTTCAAAGAACTTTTAATATGCACTGATCAATTCACAATCAAGAGATGAATTTTTGTTTTTGAATGTAAACCCCTTTTAGGTTCTGTGCTGTAAAAAAACTGTTAACTTGCCTTGTTTTTGTTGGCCATTGTCACCAACAGCTGCCTCCTTCTGCCCCTTCCCACATGAAACGTTAACCCAACATCCCCTTCTGGCAGCTCTGCTCCTCCCCTAAGGCTCAGAGGACTCCCGGATCCAGGCTTTTTAGTGACAACTCGGGCCTCCTGCAGAAAAAAACAGACATCCAACTGCTTTTCTGTTATCTAAAAGAGACTGCGATTTTGTGAAGCTGAGCATGAAATTTATTGTGCCCAGAGAGGCAAAATCTAAAATCATTCAATATTGAAGAGTCTTGTCATGCCTTTCCCTTTGGACAAAAAGAAAACAGAAAAAGGCATGTTTAGTGTTCTGCTTACCTGGTAGAATACGTATCATAGTAGAGAATTTCATTGAAATAGAACATCGTAACACAAAGCCTAAACTCGGATAAAAGCCAACTGACCTATCACAGAAAAAAGACAAGAGCATCTAAATGGTCATTTACATGAGATGTTGTGCAAAATACTGTGCCTCTAGAGAGAATAAAATCTGAGCCACCAATGGAAACCCTGGTGCTCAGGCTGAGTGATGCATGCATAGAGTGTGACCAGCCCTGAAAAGCTTGATAAATACAGCTCCTGCACTGCACCAGATCTATTTAATGAGTAGCCAGTCAGGAAGCAGATACTGTTGTCCAAGTAGTACAAACCAAACTATGCAAAAAAGTTTTCATTATCCATCAAAACAAATTGTAATCTTGTTCAAATATAGAATAGAATATCAAGGGTTTTGCAATATTACAGTAGTTAACAAATATTGTATTACAAGCATATAGGATTTACTGATCACTGTACCCTAATTTAATTTAATTGAAGGTCAAAATACATAATGGTAGTATTATTGTCATTTATTGTAGCAATTTAAAAGTGTTTTTATTCAACAGTTGGTTGGTTTCCTCTATATTGAGTGCCTTAAACACACTGTTGCTTTTGACTATCCTACTCTGTATTATACTGCACTGGGTTTTCTATATTTCTATTTCGTTTAAAAACACAAAAGAACTGCACTAAAATTCATTTCCTGTCTAGTATTCCAACATATACATTTAACTACAGTATGAGGTGGAGCAGATATGATGCAGTAATGTTTCAAGGTTAATAATGATTCTACCTCCCATGTTCCTATTTTCTCCCTTTCTCTATTTAATGTGAAATTAATTTGAATTGAGTGAAAGTGAAACATCTGGATCTCTATTAGTACTGAACATACAGTACAAGCATACATACTGTGCTGATGAGGTTCAAGTGAGGAGCCTTTGAAGGAATGCAAAGCATGGGTGGCAGACAGACCCAAAGAAACACAAAAAACTGTCTCTCTTCTTCATTTCTACGTTTCTGTGTGGAATTAAAATCTACAGGTTGCTCTGCAAACATATTGGGTATTTTGCATTGCTCTGTTTTTTTTCACTCAATGCCTTTCCTTTCTCATGCAGATGATGATGTTCTACTGAAATTGTAGCCATATTGTTTCAAACTAACAGTTAATAGTCCTAGCTCTACATTTGATAGTACCAAAAGTAGCCTTTTAGCTTTAACAATGTAAAGAGAGGGAGAGAGGGTGGCATGACGGTGCAGTGGTTAGGATTGTTGTCTCGCAGTGCTGGGGCCCTGGGTTGGGTTCTGGACCTGCTGTGCTTTCTGCGTGGAGTTCGTATGTTCTCCCTGTGGGATTCCTCCAGGTGTTCTGATTTTCTCCCACAGTCTAAAAATATACTGGTAGGTTAGTTGGCTTCTGAGAAAACTGGGCTGTGTGTGAATATCTGTGTCTGTGTCTTCCCTGTTGGTGTCCTGTCCCGGGTGTAGTTTGCCTGTTGTTTGCTGGCACAGGCTCTGGCTTCCCTATGACCCTGAATTGGAAGAAGCCGTTACAAAATGGGTGGGTGGAAGAGAGAGATTAATTCAATCTCAGATTAAAAACACCACTCCTTGTTTACACAGTATACTGTATATCCAGTCTTGGTGGTAGGCAAATGTAAATGTAAACTCCATTACTTACATTGGGGGACTTCTTGATTGTAATGGTAAGGTCCTCTGCTTTCGCTCTCCGGCTGAGGAAAGCCATGCCCTCTTCTTCTGCTCTCTTCTTGTCTTCTTCTACTTCCTGTGAAGATTGGGCAGGTTTAAAGTCTGGTCTGAGACAAGAGAGTGACTTCACTGAATTCCAACTCAGTGGAAACAAGCGGCTCCTGTTTTGCTTTATCATTCCCTAATTTCTTTTTTTTCAGACACTGCCAGGGCCTTTTCTTTTCTTTCATCTAGTAGTACAACTTTTAAAATACTGTATGTAGATGAAAAAAGTGAAAACACTGTGTAATACAGAATGTATTATCTGTGTTCCATCCCCCACCCCCCTTGCTTTTAGGCTTATGACTTCACAAAATCTTCTACAATATCTGTAGATAAATACACAAAGGGTAACACAAAGGTGACCTCTTTCATTTTCTTTATATTTCTTATGCAGACAAAGTGAGAGTTCAGAAACCAAAATGAAATTTCAAAGACGCCACCTGGTATCTTTTCATCAGCGCTTCATTCTTTTTCCGTAAAGCTTCAATTTTCTTATCCAGTTCTGCATCCTTCTGTTCTTTCTTTTTAAACATGACATCAGGTGAATTATTCTGGAAAGAAATAACAGTTGAAGTAAAGAGCAAAAGAAATGCACAGTTTCTTGGGGGTATTAAGTATGCCACAACAGAGGCTGCAGTCCACAATTGTTTCCTGATTGTTCAGAATAGCAACAAAGTTGACAAGGAAAGTATATCAGCTCTTGTCTTTAAGCACTCATAGACTTATAGTCCATAGTTCTTGTGAGGGATGAGGCAAGTCAGAGTTTGACCCCAAACCAAGGGCAGCAGGCAGGACTGTAAGTATACAGCTGCTCTCTCCATGACAAGAAGTCAATATATCACAGAGCAACAGGAAAAAACATTGAACAAGTGCTAATCAAAACTAGCTGGCATGTCTTTGGGAGCTGGGAGGAAGCTAGACCTCTTATGACAATAGAGTTAAAAAGCACAATTGCTAACCACTATACTACTATGTCACTCTATCTTTTCACCATTAATATCCAAATCTGATACTGGAGCTACAGTAATTGCCTGTACCACTTTTAAGCATTATTTATGAGGTGGGATATTTACTTTTCCAAATGTATGACTCGTAAATTTCTACACTTTACAGTCAAAAATTAAAATGCAAAAGTAATCTGAAGAACAACTGAACCACAAAAGAATTGTTCCTTAGTTAAGTAAAATAATTAAGTATGTACAGTAAACAGCACAGAAGTTGTAAGAGGCCTTTTTATTAACTAACCAACTGAATTTGCCAAACCAGTTTATTGATGCTAAGAGTGTGGTTTTAATATGGAAATAGAACTTTCGTAACAAGAAAGAACAAAGAAAGGTACTTTTGTTGATTTAGCAATTAATTGTTCTTTGGCTAGTATTGTTCTTGTCTCCAAATTAAATTAATAAGATAAATTAAATAATTGAGGGGCGCTGTCAAATACCTACTGTTCAGAGAACAGGTAAAGGTTTATACCATACTGATAGGAAAAGAAACGAGACACAATGTTTCACCTGTGGAGCCTTCTTCAGGTGTTTGTCACTTTTCTTTTGCTTTCACCATGGAATAAACCTTTACCTGTTTTTTTTGCAGCCTACACATGCTGATGCAGCTGCCTACTTAAACTTCTTCTGCCCAGAGTACTTTGTCCCTTTTGAATTCTAGGGTCAAAACAGTTGCAAAAATAATAATTTCACATTCACATACTGTACAATTTATTTTCTGGGAGCAAGATTCATATACCTCATGAAGGTAAAAGTGTATAACTATGTCAGCATACAGGCTAAAAAGAATCAAACAGAGGTTAATATATACTGTATAACATATACACCATTTTATATCAATGTAAAGATGAAAGCAAAACAAAGAGTCTTTTCATCCCTTCCATGTACTTTATTTTAATGAACACTTTATCAAATGAATCAATTAAGTTAAGCTCTGGAAAATTTTTTATATCACACATATTGATGGGACATTATATAATAGTTTCCAAAGTACAGTATAACAGCAAGGATCCTGAGCAAAACTGATTCCTTTAGAATTGTTAATGCAAATGAAAAGTTATCTTAGTTGGATACATGATATTATATCATTACACATTTCTTAACAAATGCTTAATATTCAGATCTGACCAAATTTAAGGAGAAATATTCTTTGGGAGCATAAAGTGTACATACAGTAAAAGGACATTGTGTTTCTAACAAGCTAACTGCTGAACAACTGTTTCACAGTTACACTGATTTACAGTATGTAGTACTGCATTTTATTTACAGTACCAGTTTTTGATACCACTTTCCAACAATGAACATCTTTAAAGATTACCATTTTTAATTAATCTGATCTCTCTATCTTCTTACAGAAACACAGTTATTTAAGATGTCTTAAAAGTTGTAAAGAATGTTTCTGTGACTGGGAAGCAGGTTTTTGAGGGGCCCCATACACAAGGGTTTGAGAATGATACTCTTTTCTCCTTACTAGGGGAAATGTACAGTTTTCTCAAGGTGTTTGAGCTCTAGTTTCCATTGTTTCTCTGCACACATTGACAATCAGCTAGAATTGTAATTACACTGACAAGTAATCACTCTACCATCAATGACTTATGAGATAATTTGCCTCCAAAGCATCAATTGCATAATTTTCAAGACAATGTGTTTCAAGCAGCATTAGGTTGAGAATGTGATAACTACTGTATATAATGTACAGTACCTTGCAAAAGTTTTCAAACCCTTGTAGAGATCTGATGTTTCATTGCTTGAAGGCTTTGAGTCATTACACATTGAAGTAGCAATTAATATTTGTTACATACTTAGCTACTCCGCACATTCTAAGCAAAAAATCTATAAAGAAAGAAGTAAACATAATTTTCATTCAAAAGTGAGAAGGTCATTATTGCAAAAGAATCCAAACTCATAGCTAAATTAATTTGAAAAAAAAATACCTTAACAAGTGGCCTCTGTGTGTGCAATAATAATGCACATACCGAAATGATTTCAGAATAAACATCATGAAGTCTAAGGACTTGCTTTCAAAGCAAGTCAGGTATAAAGTAATAGAACAGCACAGATCAATAGAAGGAAGCAAATAATACCCAAATCTCCAAATATCCTTGGGAGTACATTCTACTCAATCATCAAGAAATAGAAGCTGCATTGTGCCACCCACGCGTTGCCTAGATCGGGCCATCCCTTCAAACTTAGTAGCCATGCAGTAAACTAATTACTAATGCCACTTTGAAGCCAATATAAACTTTGAAAGAACTACTGTATAAGGTTCAATATCTAAGATGGGACAAAATGGCCATGAGTCAACATTATCATATGAACTCCACAAAGCCAACCTGTAAGAAGAGTGGCAAACCCATCTCAAATCCTGCACTGGGTTTGCTACAAAGTATAGCGTAGGTGATACTGCAAGCCTGTGCCAAAATATCTGTCAGATGGGACAAAACTTGAACTTTGTGGTCTAAATCTAAGTGCAAACTCAACACTTAGAAGCACTAAGTTACGTAAGCATGGTTGTGGCAGAACCATGTTAATAGGCTGATTCACATCACGAGGGACAAGATTATGAGAAAAATTGAAGAAGCAAAATACAGGCAAATCTTAGGAGAAAACCAGCCTCTGTCTGCTAAAGACCTTAAACTATGAGAAAAGTTCCCATTTCAGCAACACAATGACCCAAACCTTTACTGTGGTGGCTTAAGAAAACAAGATGAATGTCATTGAGCACAATCAAAACCCTCACTTGAATCCTATTGAGAATTTGTAGAAAGATGTGAAAACTGCTTTAAACAAAATGAAAAAAAAAAACATTCATAAATGAATCTCAAGCAACTGGAGACAGCTTGAGGAAACCTGCCAAAACTACCCCAAAAACACTTGCTGTTCTATTTGCTGCCAAATGTGCTTCCGCCAAATATTGAGTTTATGGGTCTGAATGCTTGTGTAATCAATATATTTCATTTTATACTCTTTTTTTTTTCTAATACGTACTGTAATTTATCATACCCATAGAGATAAAAAAAACTTCAGTTTCAGCATTCAAATATTAATCTGCCCCTGTGGCTGGAAGGTTGTCAGTTCGTATCCTGTGGCCGGCAGAGTAATCCTACTCTGTTGGGCCCCTGAGCAAGGCTCTTAACCCCATCTGCTCCAGGGGCACCGTATAAATGGCTGACCCTGCGGTCTGACCCCAAGCTTCTCTCTCCCCGTGTGTCTGTGTGTCTCACGGAGAGCAAGCTGGGGTATGCGAAAAGACATATTCCTAATACAAAAAATGTACAGTACACTGTATATGGCCAATAAAGTGATATATTAATATAATCAGTCAGTTGATTATGAGATTAATCCTGCTTTAATTTAAAAATCAAGAAAGAAATACAAATAAACGATCCTATATGCCCTACTTATCAAGAAAACAATGCCTTCATGTCATTGGAATGTTGTAGGCTAGACTAATCCAGGATGATCACAGCCAGAATTTCTAAACTGTCAAAACATTGCAACCAAACATAGGCCATAAATGACAGGCCATGATCTTGAAAACAATACAAGACACCTTGCCAAAATCAATATCAACTCACTTTTTTGCACTTTTGATACTTCCTGTTCCACTGCATCAAAAATGCCTCATGTCACAACAACAAACACATCAGCATGTCAGTTGTAAGCAACTAGCTAAACAGGCATTGTTTGCATGCCAGACAATCACACATGGGCCTAGGTTTACAAACCTTCAACAACACAACTGCAAGAATGAGATAGTGTGTGCAACACTTTAGGTGTAATTACCAGCAGTGGTGTCTATGCCACTTAACTGTTGAATAAAGTTTTGTGTACAGCACACTGATGGACATCAGTAAGTATGGCACAGATCTACAGAATATTAGCTAACTCTTGTATAACACAGAACAAGTGATTGGTTCTTCAGGTCCTAGCATAATGATCTGGGCAGGAGGGTCTGGTTGCCACAGAGCTCCACTTATAGTTTGTATATTTTGTGGCATCTATGGCTCAAGACCAGTGAACAGGCACATACAGTAACTGTTCAGGCTCTATGAAGAGAATGGGACAGAATGCCACAAGATACTGTAGAATCTGCAATTTTGTGCAGTGCACACTTTGCAAGTGTACAGTTTGCAGTGTTATGAAAGTGCCTAGATGCTATTAGCCCTTTGAATTTAACAGCTGACCACCTGTCAATACATCCTGTTAATGACAAATGTTCGTCAGCATCACAAATTTAATAATAATCATCATCATCATAAGTCATCTTTATTCAACAAAATGTCAATGCTCTTTGCTATGCAAATGCAAGTTTTCTTGATTATACAGTACTGTAACTTTGTGAGCTGCAATTAAGTAAAGATTTTTCTTTTCATGTTCAGTTTACAAGTGAATCACAATTTGGATTAACCAAGGACCTATTCTTTCTTAAATATTTACATTACATTAATATTTTAACACTTTATCAACAATTGAAACAAGAGCTGAGAAACCAAAGTGAAATCCCAAGAATGCTGCACAACTCTGCTTCCACAAATTATATGGCAATAAACCACATATTTTGCATATTTTGATTGAATGGTCACAAAAACTACCAATCTAATAAAATAAACTGAAATAAATCTGTCTGCATATTTTTAAGCAGCTGAAAGTCCATTAAAAATAACCAGTTAAGAAAATTATGAGTCATTAAAAAATCCATGGATACAATGGAAAAATCAACCAAAACTAAATTTTAAAGCCTCTAAATATCTAATTTAATTTTTGACAGTAATGAGTTACTGTCAGTTCAAACCATGTTCACCAGCTTTACTATTCTGTGTATCGTCCTGTCTGTCACCATGGAGACACTACAATATTTAAAAATTGCTGTTTCTTCAATAGCCAAGTTTGGCCTCAAGAAATCCTCCAAATGTATTGCGTTCTGAGTTAAGCCAATCAATATCTGACATATGATAAGACAAAAGGGATTTAATGTATCATCTTAAAGTGCATTTGCTTTAAAACACTGTAACTTTAAACTGGCAGCTCAGGGATTGAAGGCCAAATGCCTGCCGTGCTTTGGAAATTAATACAGACTCCTGCATGTCCTGCCAAAACAAGGATTCCTGCCATGGAACTTTGCACACAAGCAACAGCAGTATAGAACTGCTTCTTCAATGTTTTGTGTGAAAGAGACTGAGGGAGTTCTGTATTTTAACAAAGGAACAGACATGTTTGTTGACCTACTAAATGGCTATAAAGTTTCACCACTTGTAAATGTACCTGTATTAATTCAGTGTTTTTTTCTCTCTCCTTAGATGGTGCTGACCAGAAAATGTTACAATAAAGTTACAGCCCGATGCCTCAGATATCTTTCAAATAAGAGTTATAAGGTAATGTACATAGCTTAATTAACTGCTATGGTGTAAAAAATGCAATTTTGCCAACCAAATGATGTCAAAAGTAAAAATTCTAAACAAGTAAATTACAGACAATTACACAAAGATTTCCACTTGCATTTAGGTACCCCGAAAACCACAGTAAACAAAACAGATGCAACAAATGTATGAGAAAGATAATTATTTCAAAATGTCAGATCAAGTCATATCAAATTAATGGCACCTTCAATTAAAACTAAGTGAAAGACACGAGCAACTAGGAAAGTTATATGTTGATACCTCTTGTCTCAACTCAGGTTTCTCTACATCTTTACCACTACACACTAGGAGGAACAATGTTGAATAAATATTTATGTAACGCATATTGTGTATATACCCCAGCCTGACTACCTACAGTATATCTGTACTGGAAAAGCAACTTTGTTTCACAAAGTTTGAATACCAAGAATTTCTGCCAGCAGTTTCCACTGACATGCCACACCCAATTCTAGGTTTTCAGAGAAATCCCTCTATTATATGTATAGTTTTCAAGTAAACAAACAGAAATCCTTAACATGCTTAATAAATAGATGCTTCTCTATAGTTTCCTAATAGACTCTTAATAGGTTACCAATTCACATTAACATTGTACAGTACATACAGTACAATGTCAATGTCACATTAACACACTAATATCATGACAGCACAATAAAGAAAAACATTTTGAACAATGCCATATAATATTATTTGAAGATATCTCAGATTTATTTATATATTACATTTTATTTACATATTATATTTATGTATTATTACATTTAAATTATTTTATTATACAGTACATAAAGGGAAATTGTATGTAAAAGAAACACACATTGAAATGAAATAAGGATTCTTTTTTTTCAAAATGAACAATGACATTTTACAAGCTACCTTGAAATATTGCCTAAAAGTGCAGCGAGTATATATGGATATTACTTCAAACAATCTGTACATTTCAAGTTATCTTCATCTTATAGTCAAATAAGGCAGGGATACCTGAAAATATTTAATTGCAAGATATGGTTGATTAGCTCAATTTATCAGGTTGTAATCTGTCTTGCCATACTAATCAAGAAATCGGTTTTATTAAGGAGTTCAATCTGCCCAATAATACATCCATCTCTTAACAGAAAGTTACTCGTCCTGTGAAGGTTATGACAAATAGAAAACTATCTTCTTCAAGATGGGATGTGAGTTTTTGACAAGGTCACAGAGAAAGGTACAGTTTAGATCTGCCAATCAAACCAGTCCAGCATGTCTTTGGGAGGCTGGAGTAAGCTAAAGCACCTGCAGAAAATTATGTGAACACTGGGGTCACATCCAAACACCACATGGATAGGCAACAGAGGGCAGAATCGAACCCAGGACCCTGGAGCTCTGAGGCAGAGCTCTTTTGAAATATGATATGTACTTGCTTTCTTTCACTCCCAAAATAGTAATAGTTGTTTTGTTTTGTTTTGTTTTTTACGTTTAACATTTTTTTTCTCTTTTCTACAGTTCATGGCAATCAGGTCAGGAAACTTAATTTCAATCAATTCCTGTGGAGATCAATAATCTAATTGGGTGGGGAAACAACATAACTGCTATCTGCAGCCCTAGTCCTGTAAGTGTTTTGGTTTTCATCCCATCTCAGCTACTGTATGTGAACTTTACGTAATGATTAAGTTGTCAGTCAGTGTACAGGTTAACGTGTTTTCCAGTTTTCCTTCATTAATGCACTTAAACTTTTTGGAGGACTGCAAGAGAAATGGCAGTTTACTTTCTTTAACAGACTACCAGGGCATATTCATGCCTAGTAAGTTTTATTTATGTCTGTTAAAGCAACACTGAAGAGCTAAACTTCACAAAGTAGAGGCAAATGATAAAATCCCTGTATATCCCTGCTGTAAGAACAATACACAGGTACAGTAGGCGGCTGATTTAGAGTATCTGAAGTACAGTACAGATTCCAAACATTTTGTCAGATCCTTTCTCAGAAGACAGTCATTTCAAAAATTAGAATATACTGTAAGAAGGTTCTTTACAAGGATTATTAAACCATTTCACATGCTACCCTATTTCTTCACCAACACATTCCAAAAAAAGCAGGTTGTCTAGATAAGCATGCAGATATAACTTTCTATAAAGCTTACAACATCACAAAAACACAACATTGCTCAGCACATGGGAATTCCTTGTGAAGAGGAGATTGCCATGAGAGATAATGCACTTAATGAAAAAGCACTACATACTAATTATTCAAAGCAACTAGGGGGGCTAACCAAGCCAAAAACTTTGCAATGATTGAAGGAGGATGTAAATCGTTGCGGGGAAGATGCTGCCAACAAAAGCAGCTTGGAACAGAGCATGTGTCTTGAGTTCCCAGATGGAGTGAAGACAGCACTATACGTGAAGCATGATGCTTCCAGAGCAAAGGGCTGTTTCTCATTAAGACTGGAAAAATAGCACAGCGCCACTGCTTCCTGAGTGGTGCCATATTCACAACAAAAAAACAAATCAAAGAATGGAAGAATGCTGTGCCATTCATTTTACTCCAGGTGAGTGAAGATGGCCACAGACATTCAACCTGTTCTATGAAATACAGATGCTACTTGCCTTATTGTAAAAATTCCAGATCTCTTCCTTTTAATTAAAGGAAAGAAACTATTGAGATGCTGATGGAGCTTGGACTGGAGCTGTCCCACATCAGTTTTTATATTGTAATCCTCCTTTTAAATTGCACTCACAGCACAGTCCTGTTCAGGGGGTGGAAAATAATAACACAATTTAAAAAAACAATCACATATTTTAACAGACGATGTTCATCTTAGAGCCAAAGATTTATTTCAATTTTTTTTTTGTGAACAAAAGGAGAAGTATTCGATAAAGTGAGTATTAGCCATTATTTCACTAAAAAAAAACAGAGCAGCACAGTGAAGAAAACCTATTTTATTTCTGAAAACAACAGATAAGTGGCAGGCTCTGTAAGACAAAAATAAAACATTTTCAGGGTTTTTCACTTTAAAACCTAACTTTAGGACAAAAATGTCTTAGAAAAAACATATTTAAAACTATTCCCTAAGGACTAAAGGCTGTTACAATGTTAGAAAGATAGATGAAGTTTAACTTATAAAGGCCGCACAATATTTAAAAACTATTTGGCAGTTCCAACAAACATGTAATGTCAGACCCAGACTCAAAAAGAAAACACATCAGAAAGAAACCAATTGTGGCTGCATCTTCTCATGCAGGGTTAAAGCAAAACGTTATCATCAGTGTCGAGAGTGATTGTGATGCTTTTCAGTTGGAACACGAATGACATCCCTCCCTGCAGCTCTGCATACTTTCACTGTCAGCTGTTTCAGAAGCGAAGCCCCAAAAGGGAAGCAGGTCTTGAACTAACATCGGCTGGCTGAAATGCACACAGATGCTTGCAGTCCCATGTTTTCAACATTCAGCAGAACAGCTGTGGCAATTAGCCCCCTGTCTCGAAATAAAGGCCGTTCTAGAAATGGCTGGCACTGCCACTTTTTCCATGGAGCTGTCTGACACCACACATCCATGCTATTGGAAAACAAATGCAATAGAACCACAACATAAACATAATATGAGGGAAATTGCAGTTTACACCTCAGAGAAGCCCTTTATATACACCATAATCCCTAAAAAGAGACAGAGAGAAAGAGACAGATTGAGAAACAGAGAGAGAGGACTCACAGGTCTGTGCATTTTGGATGTCAGCGGCGAAAACTGGGCTCCTTCCAAACGAGAGCTAGCCGAGTGAGGCATCAGGCAGGCTTTTGCACAGCGAGCTGCATGGAGTCCGTGATCATGCTTTGATTACAAAAAGCCAAGTTGGGCTGCCAGCCAAAAGCCCAGGCTGGCTTTGACAAATGTACAGGGAGCCCTGAGAACGTATTTCACACTGCCTGCTGCTCCTACGAACGCTTGCTCTCAGTTAAAATTACCCTTCAAACCCCCTTCCCCACCACTATTCCCCCGCCTTTCCCTACTCACCCCCCCCACACACCCCATTGCAATTTAAAGGGACATTGAATAACCAAAAGTTAAAGTCTAATCTACAAGCTAGAATACAGTCCATGAGGAGACTGACTTGCTTGCTACACATATAAAAAATATACTTAGAATGCAATACAATTTTGCAGTAAGACAACCAAAGAAAAAGTAGTTCATCAGCAGCTACAGCGATTGCAACACAGGGCTAGAATTGTCGGGTGCAAATCATTCCCAGATTTATTGATCTACATTTTATTTCAGTACAATCAGGTTCTTAAGCTGAAAAGAGTTTGAAGATCTTTTTAATTCTGCATCATGTAATTTACATACAGTTCTCCTACCTTCAGAAATAATCCTGAAGACAGCCAGGGTATTGCGCTGTTTAGCTGGCCAAGTGGAACCTCCTATTAAGCTAGCTTCACAAATGGCACATTAATCAGCTGTCAAACCTTTCACCATTACATGTAAAAAAAAACGAACCTTCTTCTTAGAGCTGTAAAACTACTGCATGTTTTTTAAACTATAATTTTATTAATAAAGCCCCCTATAATAAGTCCCTTCAAATTGAGAAAATGATGTTTGCTATATTAGCCAATTGTCACTAAGTACCCCCTCCTCAAAACTTACAAAATTCATGCACTACACACAAAACCAATACACAAAACCAAGAAACTTTTTCCCTAGGAACGTTCAGATCTCATTCAAGAATCCTTTTTTTCTGTGAAGACAATACTACAGGATCTTCTCTATGATGTGTTTGAAAGACATTTTGAGCAGGGAAAATACCCACTTTGTACTGTACATGAGATATTTTTTTTTCTTCCCCTTACACATCCCCTTACTTGTTTGATGTTTGGTGTGTGTCTGACAGAACAGAAGTCTGACTGCCTCTCTAGAGAGTAAGAGGAAGGGTAAACAGCATTCTGCAGGATTTCCCATAATTGCACATGCAGGCCAGAGCTGCTTCTGGTTGCCATGCATGCTAATTGAGGGAGAGACAAACAGCACAGGCTGTTCTGAAAGGAATGAAGCAAACTTAAAAGCTTGTGACTTGCATACTTGGGAAATGTCCCAGAGTACTTCGGGGGTAAATAGGCATGCCTTTGGTACTGCTCAAACTCTATTCTGTTGTCTGTGCTTGGGATACAGTTGCATGTTTTTCAGCTTAAATTCAAATGTTTTCATCATCCTGCATAATGCATAAACCCTTTAGGAGAGATTATAAAACTCAAAATAATTCAAGCATGCTCTGTTGTATTTTGGAACGTGGAATAACTACAGCACAATATGTCTCATAACACCCTAATTATGTGGTGGCTCTATGCAAAAACAGCCAAGTGCAGCCACTGTAAACATTTAACTATCATTCAATATTCAAATTAACTGCAGATTGCACTGAAGACCAGTGAAACGTCTTTCCAAACATGTCAAAGACAACGAAATCATTCCAGTAAACGATAAAAAGCTACAGTATTGTTTCCTTTATAGTCAGTTCAAATTTTATGCTTTTTAAATGTAAACCCATAGTAGACTATACAATTTGACAAATCATATAAAGTTATTTACTGACTCACATTAAAAAAAACATAATCTGACATAAACATAATCTTTTTAACCTAAATTTATTATATCATTGTACAAAGTCCAGAGCAAAATCAGCTTTAACTTTTAAAAGGTAATGTTCCTTCCTTCCTGATTCCTACCACACATCATTCTTAAGAAGAACAACAATAATGATGATAACAATAACAATAATAGCGATAATAACAATAACAATAAAAATAATAATGTACACCAGTTCACCCCCTACGAAGCAGATCAAGTAGAGAAGTCAGAAACTGCTTCACCTTAACTCCAATGAGATTTTTAATAATCAATAGTCAAGACATTGGTTTAACATTTAAATTAGTAGTACTAAGTACTGTACACTTGGCGTGTCTAAACCACAGTAAATCCAGGGATGGTAACTGAAATCTAAAAACAAAAATGTGTCTGGAGTAAGAAAAATATTTCTAAAAGAAAACATTCTCAACAACAATAACAAGCTCCAGTTTCCTACAAGCAGTTTTAAATAACAGATCTACAATCATTCAGGCTGTGTGACAACATGCAAAAGGAAAACTCCTCAGTAACTAAGACAAGACTAAATTGCTACTGTACACCATAAAAGACAGGTTAAATAATCCAAGGTCCACCCCCTGGCTCCTCTTGATGTACAGGTAAGCCTCCATTTAAGCCAGAGGTGAGTCTGCTCTGTAACGTGATATAAAATGGGTGAACAGACAAGGATAACAGCGTGGATCCACAATGGGTAAGTTAAAATTGTAAACAATGTAAAAATTAGTAATAGTTATTTACAACAGCCATGATATACTGTAAATCCAAATATAAAGATATTTACATGGTTCTTTATTTGTTCCCGAATGAAGGGTTTATGTGGACCTTGGAAGTCATGTGACAAGGAAGTGCACCTCTGGTGTTATTTAGAGTCAGTAGTTGTGTTCATTCATTTCTTATTCTGTGTGCACTAATATTACAGTATATACAACATAAATGTTACCTGTGCACCATTGCTGTTCTGCTGTGATGATTGGAGATGCTTGGTGCTCTTGCTTGAACTGCAACAACAAGAGTATAATTAAAATTACAGATCGTTAAGCTTCCTCAAGGAAGTCTAGTTGTCTCACTCCTATATGTATATATACTGTATGTATACAGTATATGTATATGTGGTAGTATTGTCTGTGCAGCATATTTCACTTAATTTCCTGTATGTTTGAAAACAACTATTAAAACCCAATCATATTCAAATTGATAAATTCCTTGCATATCAGTTAGTCATCAGCTTTCAGATACCCAGTGGGGAAATAGTATGGCAGTCGATGTTTTTTGCAGACAACAATATGAAGTTTAAATCTACACGCATTTGAAATATAGCACAGTCACCAGTCGCCAATCTCCATGTGTGTGGCCTCCCCAATGATAAGAGAACACTGGTGCCCATATCTGTCCCTCAGATGACTGGATGGACACAGTCTGTCTCAAACAGACATCCAGAGCCCAAAGAGAACACAAAGGATGAGATTAATGTTTTTTTTAATAATTTTATCCTTTTACAGCAGTCATTAGACGTGTCTTCAATTTCAACTGTTTATTTCCCAGTCCATGCAAGGAAAATTAAACCGTTCGCAATCACTTTCATTTCTTCCGTGATTCACATCCAGAAATCTCTATGGTATAAAACTGCATTCTAATTGCTAAAGAAATACATTTTAATCTAATAAAGTTGTTATTAAGTAGTTACTCTAGTACTGCAGACAAAACATGTCGCAGATGACAAGACTATATTCTGGACAAGGCTTGTTATTTGTACATACTGTACATTACCGTACAATAACGTTTCTCCACGTCTCAGCAGATTTTGAAATAAAAATGGTTAGAGTGTTTGGTACGTTTATACACACCGCTATGCATAAATCTTTGTTTAAATTGTTGCTCTCTTTTTATTCAATGTTATTGTTTTCCTGTTTTAAGCAGAAAGACAATTCCATATTGAGCTACTGCAAATGTGGCTGCTTTATCAATTAATCCTGTGAGGTGTATTTTGTTGTACAAAGGTAGCTTATTGTTCTTATGGATGTGTAGGGAGGAAATGATGTTAATAAATTGAATCACCAGACAATGAGTCGTTTAGATTTCATTTGTGTTTACTTAGCAAACACAGTTTACTTTAGCTGTCGGAATCACATTTTTGAAGATTCTAATTCAATTTGAATTAAAATTTTGATCAATGAAACTTGCCCCTTTCTCACCCAAATTAATATGTTCAGTATGAATAGTAGTTCAGGTGGGTAGCTGTGTCAGCATGCGTAGGCTGCAAAGGAACAAGTAATAGGTTTATTCCATGCTGAAAAAAAGGAAGAAAGAGAACACAACGTTTCGGCTGTGGAGCCTTCTTCAGGTGTGAATAGTAGTCAACATTGTAACATATACTTTCATAACCAGTTGTATGTCTGCTTATAAACACTAGAGGGGGTGTTTCCCTGTTTCTCTTCAGTGTTTAAAACATCTCTAAGAGGAAAAGGGTTAATGCTAAGTCACTTTAAGTCCATACGAGTTTGCATTCTTTCCATTAAAGCTATTAAATGTGGAATATCAACTTTTCTTTGGACCAAATTTAGATTCAATCGTGTACAAGTTTAAGCTACACTGTAAATATTGGGTCAGCATGCGTAGGCTGCAAAGGAACAAGTAATAGGTTTATACCATGCTGAAAAAAAGAACAAAAAGAACACAACGTTTCTTAAGGCTCCACGGACGAAAAGTTGTGTTCTCTTTCTTCTATTTTTCAGCATGGAATAAACCTATTACTTGTTCCACTGTAAATATTTGCCTTCTTTTGTTTTATTTTTTGGATAATTTTTAACTAACATCAATTCCTACATCCACAGGAAAACAATAGATGCAAAATTGTATCACATTCCAAAATGAGCTTCAGCTTTTTTTACATTTTGATGTTTCAGTACAGTGCAGTGTAGATTATCGACTGTCAATTGTCAATTGTCGATTGCCGATTGTCACATGCACACTTTGACCAGGATTAGTCATCATAGCCTGCAGCTCTTTCAAAGTAGCCATTGGCTTCTTCCCAGCCTCTCTGATCAGTCTCTTTCTTGCTTGGTCACTTAGTTTGAAGGGACAGCCTGATCTAGGTAAGTGTCATTCCACTTCCACTTCTTAATAATAGTCCCATACCCATACCCTGACCTGTGACAGCTTTGTCCTGGAGTTATTTTGAAAGCTCCTTGATGCTCATGGTTGAGTCTTTGTTTTGAAATGCACTACCTAGTAGAGGGAACCTACAGAATCTCCTGAATTTGCTTTGTATGCATGTGAATCACTATAATTTAACACAGGTGGAGCCATATTAACATGGTGTGTGATTTTAAAGGCAATTGGTTGCACCAGAGTTAATCTGGGATTGCTATTACGGAGGGTGGATACTTATCCAACTAATTAATTTCCATTTTTACTTTTAATTAATTTTTTTAATAATCTAGATTTTTTTTTTTACTGGTATGATGTGGGGTAGGTTGTGCAGATAAAAAAACATATTTAATGCATTTTAATTACTAGCTGTAAGTCAACAAAAGCCGAAAATTTTGCAAGGGGGTGTAGACTTTCTTTAGTGACTGTTTTCATGACACCTGACCTAGAATCCCCTTGTTTAGGGATCATTCCAAATCCCTAATTCTAGTTTTCTTCTGTTTTGAATATAAAATCCTGTCAAGAGCATAGTATTTATAACTCTAAAAAGGCTCAATCAGCTTTCAATCTGATAACCTATTCATGCTGTACAATGTGTATGAATAGAAACTAAAGCCATTTATGGAGCATTAGAACAAAAGAAACATAATAAAGAAGCCATCTTAGCAATGTGGTTGCTAGTAATTTATTGATTTGATGATGTCATGCAGACAGTATTTATACCGTAGGATTTAAAGGAATCTTCTTCAGAATATTAGCTGTATACCATACTTTGTTCCAGATACGGCCCTCAGGAAATTGGCTCTGTTGTCAGTTTTGGACACACAATCTCTAACTCAGCTCTTGTGCTAAGGTTCTTGTTTCACTATTGGCCTGAAGTAGCCCCCTGGATTGATTTTGTTAATAACTTTCAGGGGTTTTATCACTTGGATCATAACCTCTTTAATTCTAAAGAGGTTTATGACTAAAGATATCTGGTTTCTTTCTGTGACACTGACATTTCTTTATGAGAAACATTTGCAGATTTCAGGGAAAACCCCACCAACAATAAGTTGCATTTAGCTGAGAGCATGACTTTTCCATTGGTTGGGACACTAATTCAAATTAGCTTTTGAGAGCTCATCACAAAATATTATGAAATTTAGCAAAAGGACCAAAGACAAATTTTAAGAGAAACTGAAGAAGAATAAGAAATATTTTAAGTCTGATTTAGTTATATTTTGTTATTTTTTTCTTTTCTTTTTTGTCAGTTCCTGACGTGCAGGTGTTCTGTTTCTCTGTTCCTGGAGAGTTGTCTGTTGTTTTCTTACTCTGTGTATAATTGTGTAAACTTTTAAATATGACTAATATTGATGAAGACACTAAAAATAAATCAAATGTACTTAAAATTGAATTGAAACAAGTCAATCACATGGATTGAAATCAAATGAATGAAGTATTTTGTTTTTCCATTTCACAAAATATATCAAAAATTAACACTTACCACTTTCTGACTGCTCTATAGTATTAGAATATCTTGTCCTGGGAAGAGAGTAAAGGGTAACAACGTTTTGTGAAGTATAGTGAAAACATGATTAAAGACTGGTAAACTGTAAGTGGCTATGTTGAAACATGATACTGCACAAACCTAGAGGAAATTGTGGAACAGCAAAGCACTGTACATACTGCACATGGCATGATCACCATAAAACTGTGGGAATTCTGCAAAAATACAGCACTTGCTTTCATTAAACTTTCAAGTGCATACTAATTTTAATAACAACCCTAATTTTTATGGCATTTTAAGATAAAAGTAGCACACCACAGAAGGCTATTTTCTGCGTGTAAATAATCAATATCTCTGTAGTGTCATGCAGTTTCCTGTTGACTTTACAGCAAAAATAAGGTGCCTCATCTCTTACACAATACACAGTGTCATGTATTCCTAGATGAATGCACAGACCTGTTTATGATTCGAGGGTGGGAAAACAGTGGGTGGAGAAATGGTTAAAAAACAAAGCTAACTGGTTCAGAGGATCGAAAGATAAAATCAACCAAACAGCATTTGCATTGTGTTTGGCATGCTCAGTTTGTGCTGCAAAAACAGATTAAGGCTTACCTGAATGTTATAGTTACTTTAACATGTTCAGTACAATTATCAAAGATATGCGGGGCTCTTTGGACATTCTTTGTGAGTATTATATGGTCTTTGAATCAGTATGGCAAATGTATGTCAGGGGCCCATACATGAGGTCAACTTAAGGCTAGAATTGTGGACATCTTCTTAGCAGTTCACCAATAACCCCTGAACCAATCTGACTGTAAAAAGTTGTAAATTGTAAATT